TATCACGAGGTCCTTCCTGCATTGGCTTCTGCCCTTCTCTTCAGTCTTTACCCCCCACCCTTCACCTACCGCGTTCCTCATGCTCTGTCCTTACTACTCATAGTTCCTAGAGCTGGATTTGCTCTCTCCTGCCTCAAGGTTGACCTATAGGCTCTTTCCTCTTCTGGAGATGCGCATTTCCCACTGGCCACCTGGTGAACACCTGCTGCGTAGCTCAGATAGGTACTTTGTGAAGCTGCCTGTCTTAGTCAAGGCTGTTTGGTTTCAAGGAATAGAAACCCACTCAGATGATCACAAATAAAAATGTTTATATAAATGAAAGAGCAGGCCACATCATGGACATTCCCCACTAGGTCAGGAAATAGACTAGGTCACTGGGGATAGAAGAGGACAGTCAGGAACCACGGCTGCTCCCAGGTGGTGTCTGATTTCTCTCACTCCTCTCTGTTTCATGCTCTTTTGATATACGAAGTGATATTCTGCCTTCCCTACTCTTTTGTCACTTCAGCTTGCTCATGGCTTCACGTTGGCTTACCCTGTCAACGTGGCCCTGGCTCTGCATGTATTTTCAACTCAACTAACATCTCATTTTCACACGTTCAAATTCTGAGGGAGTGCTATTTGGATTGGCCCAGTTAAGTCAATTAGTACGGCTGGGGAGTGAGGTCATACCTTACAATGGGCTACGCCGTTCAAGGTTGAAGGTGTGTGTTTGGTGCTACTGCTCTGATTTGACTACCTAGAGGGAGATGACCCCTGTGCTTTCTCCCAAGCCCCTCTCTTTACTGTGCTCCTGAACAGTCTTACTTAATCTTTACTCAAAGAGTGTAAGGTATTCAGACTTTAGGGCATAGCATCTCACTTCATCTTGAGACATTCTTCTCCAACTCTCAGGGTTGTTTTTCCTCTCACAGTTTCATGCCAAGTAAGAAGAGCAAGTTCACTTTTTTTTCACTAGACATGCTCTCACTGGGATTATAATAAAATCTTTTTTGTTGTTGGTTGGTTCAGGGGACTTAATGCTTTGTTTATTTGGGAAGAAAAAAATCGGAATAAAATGTAAAAGAAAGATTTTTAAATCCCTTCTGCTGTGCAAATTTATCTACAGGAGTGAGCTAAAGATAGTAAAATTACATTTAGGTTAATATCATTCAGCTCAACTACTTCCTAAGACTATTCCAGCGAGAGTGCTTTAGATGATAAGAGGCAAAATTTTTCTAGGAAAACTTATTTAACTGGGAATATCCTAAAGAAACTCAATTAAAGCTAAAATCAATCTGAGAATTATAGAGGATTTTTTTTCTTTAAATACATACCACATTCTTTAAATTCTTCCATGATGCCCTATTTTGAGAATTTATCTTACAGAACCAGTTAGGTAATAGAGAATAAAAACATGATAATTAAAAAAACCTGATTTTATTGATTATTGCCAATGAAAAATACTGGTTTTTTGAGGGACCTATTGCAAATATCTTGCATGTCCTCTTGACAAACCTCTTGCTTCATGCTGGAATTTGCAGAATAATACAAACATGCTTTCCTACTGTGGGTGTAGAAGGAGGACACACCCAATGAGAAGAATTGGGTAATTTTCTTAAAATTTGTCAAATATATTCCCTTTCTCTCTCTCCATTACCTTCTTTTTCTCCTTTTTTTTCCCCTTTAACTAGGAGCCATACAACTTGATTGTGCATTACTTTTTCCATCTATAAGAGGCTAGTGATACCTCTTATGCTTGCTACTTATGATTATTTGGGGGGAAAACGTGAATGTACCTTATAGACTAATTGTGCTTTAGAAAGATGAGACACAGCTTGGGCCTAGTATATGCAGTGAAGGGGAAAAAGATGCTGACATGTGATCCTTGCCCTAAAGGACTAGCACTTAGATTGGGAGTCAGACAAAGCTAGGCTCTTTGCCTCAACATTCTAAGTCAAAAGATTTGGAGTATGGCCTGCTATTATATCAAGCAACTCTCCCCCTTCCGGATTCTTGTTATTGGGTAAGTTTGTGAAATACTGACAAAAGATCTCACTCTCATTTTCTTCACTCATTAAATGGAGGTTAAAAGAAAATGCCTACCCAGTCGATTGTGATGAAGTATGAATAAAGGAACATTCCTGGAAGTACTTACATGGTGCTTGGAACGTGATAGGTTCCAAGTTTAATAAGTGGTTCCCCTACCTTTCAGTAAAACAGAGGGAATTGATCAGAATCCCAAGGGCAGTACAAATAAAGTGTCCTGGTACTTCAGAGCAGTAGGAGGAAGAGCTTACTTCCATTTGGGAAGGAGAGGAGAGGTGTTCCTTGCGTTAGCCTACCGCTAGGAGAGGTAGTGTGTGCAAGGAAGTGGGGAGTCAGGGGTGTTAATGGGCAGGCCCTGGCATCTAATAGAACTTGGTTTCAAATACTGGCTTTTCTATTTAATAGCTAAGTAACCTGGAGCATATCATTTTACCTCATATGCAGCAGTTTTCTCATTTATACCATAAGGGTAATAATAAAACCTAGCTTATGGGATTGTTGTGAGTCACTAAAGCACTCATCATTCATTCATTCAACAAGTATTTCTGATCACTTATTATTTGTCAGGCATTGTTCTAGATGCTAGGGATATAGCAGTGAAACGGAAGAAGCAGAACCCCATCATTCAGTCAGTGCTCAAGAAATGAGAGTCATTATTATTCTGTAATATTATTCTGCCTGCCCTGTTGTCTAATTTATATCTTGTTACCATGACACATATATAAATTACTAGAGCTATAATTGTTTGGCTGGAGCCACAGAATCAAAATTGTAGAGCCCAGCTGGAAGGGACCACAGAGCTCCTGTGGAATGTTGTTGATGCCCACTGTATACACCAGGGGTCCTCAAACTTTTTAAACAGGGGGCCAGTTCACTGTCCCTCAGACCGTTGGAGGGCTGGACTAAGTTTAAAAAAAAAACTATGAAAAATTCCTATGCACACTGCACATATCTTATTTTGAAGGATAAAAACAAAACGGGAACAAATACAATATTTGTATTTGCATGTGGCCCACAGGCTATAGTTTGAGGACCCCTGGTATTCACAGTTGGTAGCTGGTGATGCACAATACATGTGCACCACTGTGTTTTTCTAAAAGTGGTGATTGATTGATCACTGTCTGATCTGGGCACATGCTCGGTTAAAATCCTTTTGTGGGCCAGAACTCATATTTTGGTGGTGTTTAGACTTAATAGGCATTAGCCATGGTAAATTTAACAGGTCCACATTATGTGCATATGTATGTTTTGAAGGCAGAACATTGACACAGAAGGTGAAGGAGAAGGCAGGAGTAAGGATATATCCTTTTGACTTCATTATCATCAGGCATGTAATTGAATTAGTCAGCCACAGTTGGCCAACAACCAGTTTTTACTGTTGAGATTCACATACTATCCCAACATACTAGATTATTGTACTGATGGTTTTGTTCCTGGTCTATTGCTTATTTATTTTGCCAAGCACCCTCTTTGTATACATGGCATTTGTAGTACAGGGAAACCATGTCTAAAGAGTTTGGCAATGTACCTAAAAGCCAGTTACTCCGTGTGGAAGTATGCAACAACTGAAATAGTCAAGAAAATGAGGCCTAGTAATAGCTAGCAGCAGGAATTTTAAGAGGGCAGAAAGAGAAAGGCCCTTATTAAATGTTAGAGGGCATTGTTCTTGAGCACAAATGTATATCTTCCAAAATCCCAAAGCTGAGAATTAGCACTGTAAGCTTTTGTGAAAATTATTGCTGCTTGTGCCATTTATTAATGGTATAGATGCCACAGTAAAGACATTTAGCACTTTTATGAATGAGAATATTCTTTTCGGTTCTATTTTTAGCCCTTTAGTTTAGGAAACAGTTTTCTTAAAATAGTTTCAGTTTGGGATAGACATCTAAACACGTTTTTATAAAATAAAAGTCATTAAGGTACACAATATTTTCCAGAAAATGATTATTGCATTCAGTTATAAGTAAATTAGCTTCTAATTAAGTCTTTTGTTAATTTTCTGTCCCTTCTGTATTTATCGGCTATCATAAGTTACATTGGGATTTATGTTTATTTCTTTTTTAACATTTTAGACAAATATCCAAGTGTACCTACTGTCATTCAATTAATAGGATAGCTTCCTACCTTCTCGGAACAAAAATATTGTATGGAAAATGAATAAAGCTATGCAAAATAGTGACTCTGTGCTTCTGCAAGGTGGTGTACTCCATGGCATTGGTTATTGAGAACTGTTTCTTCATGCTCTCGGATTTCTTTTGAAATGTGACATAGGAAGAAAGATACGTAGAAGATTTTGGATGTTTTTGGTGTTTTCCAGTTGTATTTTTAAGATTGTACCTTTGACCTGGCCCACTTAGCCATATTTTTGTCCTATAATTACTGTTTGAGTCCTTAAACACAGAGTCATGCAGAGAACTATTGAAGCTGTGGCAGGGTACATAGTTTGAAAACACCCATCAGATATATAACTACTAAATTACCCATTGATTTCACAATACAAATGACAGAGTCAATAAAATCCTATTGTCTGGTACAGATGGAGAGTCCAGCAGAGCAAACAGTGATCCTGGTGGTTAGTGTGTCCTGGGTGCTTGTCAGAATGCAGGATGGGAAAGGGACGTGTTGTAGGAGTGGAGTCTACCTTCCGTGGACGTGGCCTCGATGAAAGTCTGGGGAGCACCCATTCCCTTACTACTCCCGACATAAGCCTCCTGCCAAAACACTGCCCTTGTTTACCCTTTACCTGGAGTTCCTGTCACAAGATCAAATGCAAATTTCAGCCGCTTCCCAGAGCCTTTGGAAATTGTCCTACCCTCAGGGATCTCCCCTTCTCTCAAAACTGGGTGCGTATTATTTTTTACATACAGCACTCAATGTACGCTCCCCTTGTTATTAGTTTTCTCTTTCAATTATGTAATTTATGAAAGGTTCAGTGGTATATTGTTTATTCTTCATCTAGAAGGTCAACGAAATGCTTTCCTTATGAAGACATTATGTTGGGCGTTGAAGGAAGTCTGGACAAAGAAACAGGATACATTTTGTCCCTGGTTCTGTTCTGAACGTAGAGAAGGAACTTTGAGAGAGCACTTAACCTACCTTTGTTTCTTTCCTCAGCCTATTAAATGAGGGAATGAACTAAACAATCTCCAGGTAATCTCCTTTAAAATTGTACTTCTGGGACTTCACGTTCAACTGGACAGATTGCATACATGATTTTTA